ACTTTGTGTGTTTTCGTAGTGTACAACAAAGTGTCCTTTGGCAACTTGTTGAGTATCTGTCCTGCCATTGGTCTTCAGCTACCTAAGTATTGTCTTTTATGTGTACTTTAAATAAATAAAAAGGCTACCTAAGTAATGCTTCGTGTTTATATCTGATTTGAGTAATTAGCAAAAGCCTGTCCCCTGACCTGATGACAAGATGTGTCGAAATCTGGTTGGTTGGCAGTTTAGTTGTTGACCCGGTAGCACGACTCTTTTCTCAGCTCACTATATGCTAATCTCCAAGCAGATATTTTGGCTGCCTGTATTTATTGGGTGGCAAAAGTATTGGATACCATTCACATAAGTCGTTCTAGCCAGGATTCAAGAGTTTGTTCCGCACTACTTTGTATACCCTCGTCATGAATCCGGTGGTCGCCCATTAATACTGTGTTCTGTCACCAAAACAATAAAAGAAAATCTGGGACTAGAGGAGAATAATGCATGAATGAATGAATGAAAGACCTTTATTGTACATTGCTAACTAAGCACGTGTACAGGTCATGGTAAATAGAATGTAAGACTAAAATATATCCATAGTAAAACTACATGGGTACAGGCTCTGCTTCTTTCGCTTCTTAACACAGTTGTAAATATAAGAACAGATGGAGTTTATAGTACGAGGGTTATCGAGTTAATAATCAACACGTCAATGTTTGTCACCAACCCCCAAAGAAAAAGAAGGAACAATCCTGTATCCATTTGACTGGCTTAAAAGATACACGTACAAAAATCGCCTCAAAACACGCCTTTGTCCTATATTTCTGTTAAGTATACAGCTTTTTATTAGAGGTAAACACCATTTAACAGGACTTCTGCTAATCCGGACCTTATTTGTATAATCGGTTAGGAAATGCTACAAAACGACGACTTTATTTGCATAATCATGAGAAACATTCATAAATTGTCGGGAGTAAAGCTTAACGACATTTTTTGGGCAAGGTATGAGATCGTGGAATTCTAGTGACCATATGTCATAATTTTATTTAGTCTAGCACATGTCATAATTCTATTTAGTCTAGGAGAATTATTGTTTCCATACATTGTACCCTGTACACCATATTCCATAAATTATACAATAACACGTTTTCCTTACTTATCAAAGTCCAAGCTCTGCATGAGATTTTTGTGAAGAGTTTCTTTGCGATGTCTCCACCATGTATACACCGCCACTACACCGGTACCGAACATTATGAGTACAACACCGCCAGACTTAAGCGGACTGGGCAACTCAGATAGAAGAATGTAGTCCAACAGCACTGCAAGAGGTATGGTGAAAGTCCTTATGGTGGCAGTGATCCCCGCCTTTTCCGTCTTCAGTGACAGGTTTGTAGCAAATTGCGCGCCGCAGCCACACAGGCACAGCCCGACAACATTACCCACCGTCTGTGCCGACATCGCCCAAATCGGGGTCTCAAACAAGTACGTCAGTCCGAGTAGCACGACCGCTCCTGTCATGTTGGCGTAGAAGAGCACGGTTAGAACGGAGACCTTCTGTACACCGATGAGCGACCGTGAGATGACCAGACTTGGAGCTCTACCGAATGTTGCTGCCAAGGGAAGGAGAATGGACGCCGTCAGACGCTGCGTGGACGAAGTGTTCTCTATAATTAATCCATATGCGACTAGTACAACACCAGCTACGTTGAGAACGATTCCAAAACAATCCACGACGCCCACAGTTTCCTTCAGGAACAAAAATCCAATACAGGCCGTGGCCAAAGGCAATGATCCTTTTATGATGCCGAAGGCGATCCCAGGGACAACGAAGACAAAGGACATAAACTGGAGGACAGATCCAGCGTTCTCAGTAATAGTCGACAGCACCAGGAGTAGAGTTTGTCGTCCGTTTTCAGTTGTCAGTTTTGGTCTAAAGAAGGGCAGGAAGAGCAAAGCAGCAAGGGTCTCCCCACATTTCATGAGGAAGATCAGCTGCAGCCCAGGTATGCCCACCTGGCTACCCAGGGCCATAAACTGTGACGCGGTGGCGGCCAGAACTGTGTGCAGCAGAGCATACAGCACACCGGCTCCGGGTGTCAGGCAAGTCTGTGCAAAACCGGCGCCTTCTCGGTTTGTGGTCTCCTCGATATAGGTTGCTGTCGCCGAGTTGCCTGTCATTGTTTTTCTTCAGCTTTGAACATCAAGTGAGAACTACACGAACTCCGCTTAACTTAAGACTGATGTGATACGGTATTGGTGTGAAGAGAATTCTTCTTGCCAGCTACAGGAAATGTTGTCAGCGCCCAGGCTAGATACGTAGATGGAATGCCATCCGATAATGCATTAGACTATCGACTCGAGCTCAAGCCGGAACTGACAATTCAGTGAAAGGATGAGTGATCCCAACTGGAAAAATCTTCCTACCTGGTCCAAGAGATCGTCTCCACTGTTATGTAGTGAAAGAGAGTTGTCTGAACTGCGCACATGCCGAATCCTCATCCGTCACAGACCAGACAGATGATTCTGGCCTCAGGGGGAATTGGAAATGCACAGTTCTGTTGAGGAACAAAGCTACGAAAACACAAAAAGTACAAAGTGCCTTTGGCAACTTGTTGAGTATCTGTCCTGCCATTGGTCTTCAACTACCTAAGTATTGTCTTTTATGTGCTTTATTAAATAACATAAAAACTACATAATGCTTCGTGTTTATATCTGATTTGAGTAATTAGCAAAAGCCTGTCCCCTGACCTGATTACAAGATGTGTCGAAATCTGATTGGTTGGCAGTTTAGTTGTTGAGCCGGTAGCACGACTCTTTTCTCAGCTCACTATATGCTAATCTCCAAGCAGATATTTTGGCCGCCTGTATTTATTGGGTGGCGAGAGTATTGGATACCATTCACATAAGTCGTTCTAGCCAGGATTCAAGAGTTTGTTCCGCACTACTTTTTATACCCGCGTCATAAATCCGGTGGTCGCCCATTAATACTGTGTTCTGCCACCAAAACAGTAAAGGGAAATCTGGGGCATCGCCAGAGGAGAATAATCAACACGTCAATGTTTGTCACCAAACCCCCAAACCCAAAGAAAAAGAAGGAACAAACCTGTATCCATTTGGCTGGCGTAAAAAAACATACCCGTTCAAAAATCGCCTCAAAACACTACAGCTTTTTATTAGAGGTAAACACCATTTAACATGACTTCTGCTAATCAGGACCTTATTTGTATAATCGGTTAGGAAATGCTACAAAACGACGACTTTATTTGCATAATCAATGAGAAACATTCATAAATCGTTGGGAGTAAAGCTTAACG